TATTTTTAGTAGAGACGGGGTTTCACCATTTTGGCCAGGTTGGTTTTGAACTGCTGACCTCAGGTGAGCCACCTGCCTCAGCCTCTCAAAGTGCTGGAATTACAGGCATGAGCCACGGCGCCCAGCCGAGAATTTTAAAGAAGGTGAAAGTTCTTCCCTTTCCCGAAACCTAGCCTGGCCTTGAGTCTGTTAATACCAAGACTGTGTGAATTGGAGTGGAAAGCAGAAGTGGTGAAGGGAGCCATTGCCAGAGGGAAGAACACAACTTCAAGGCCAGATGCTCAGTGGAGCTCTCAGAACAGCCAAGCCAGGAGGACAGTCAGGAGGACCATGGGCCAGGCCACCAGGAACCCTGAAATACAAGAAAGATGACTGTCAAGTGTTGGGCTTTGGGAGTCAGGAGTAAACGTAAGTTGGCCTCTTTGTCTTTTGCAACACCAGGATGAGAAAGGCAAAGCATCTTTAATATCTGGCCTGGTTATAGTCTCTGAGACTCACATGGTAGAGGCAAAGCTATCTAATCACCAAAATTTTTTTTCCATTTTCCTCTAGATGCACAGTAAGGCAATTTTTCTCAGTGTCCTTTGCAAGTAGGTGGGGCCATGTGACTGAATCTGGCCAATAAAATGTACATAGAAGTCATCTGTGCCATTTCTATGTCTGATCCTTAAATCCTCTTATATATCCTGTTGCTCTCTCATCTACCATCTAAGGGAGCAGATGCAGAGTATCCAAGATAGGACTTGCAGGGGATAGTGGAGTTGCCAGAAGTTACCAGAAGGTAGTAGAAGCCCGAGCTCCTAATGACTACATGGAGTAGAACTGCATCCCCTCCCCCAGTGATTTAGTGGGAAACAATGCTGTTGTGTAAAGACACAGAAGATTGGGGACTCTTTGTTATAGCAGCTAGCATTACTTATGCTGACTAATACTGAAGGGGCAGAAAGACACAGAGGTTAAAAAGCACTGCCTCTGAGGCCTGATTACTTAGCTTAGAATCTCAGCTCTATACCTAGCTGGGCAGTCCCAGAAAAGTTATTAAACCTCTCTGCCTTTATTTTCCTGTATGCCAAAGAGAAATATTAATAGCTCCTGTGACTTCACTGGATTTTTGTACGGCTTAAATGAGTGAGTTCATATTAAGCATTCAGATCAGCACCTGGCACATGGTAAACACTATATAAATGTTGGTTTTAAAAGTTAGACTCTAAGATCTAGTTCTGCTGAGACTGTATCTCTTTGGCACATCACTGTGTACTCAGTTTCGGTGAAGGACATGGATCCCCGATGATAACTGTCTTGTATCGGAGGGCCTAGGAGAAACATGTGAGCCTTCCTGCCATACTACCAAATTATAAAATCTCCCCATTAACCCAATTTCAAAGTAATTGGCTGACGTCCTAGAAGTGAGGAGAGAAATATAAATTTCAGACACAATTCATGACAAAAAGTTATAATTATAAAACAGGTTGATGTTCAATTAATCCTAAAACATCAAAGATGATTGTGATAGCAGACAATGAAAACCACAAGTGCCCTCTTGTAGTGGGTAGGCTGCCTCAGCATCAGACTGATCCCCTCCTTGTCCAGAAGCGTCCAAAATCTACCACTCATCCTAGAAATTAGTCAATTTGGCAAACTGTACTGGGAAACCACAGTGTTCCAGGCACTGGTCTAACCAGAAGGACTGGCAGAAAGGAATGAGACTTGAGGTTCCTGACTTCAAGCTGCTTTTTTTTTTTTTGATGGAGTTTCACTTTTGTTGCCCAGGCTGGAGTGCAATGGCGCAATCTCAGCTCACTGAAACCTCCTCCTCCTGGGTTCAAGCGATTCTCCTGCTTCAGTCTCCCAAGCAGCTGGGATTACAGGTACGCGCCACCATGCCCAACTAATTTTGTATTTTTAGTAGAGACAGGGTTTCTCCATGTTGGTCAGGCTGGTCTCAAACTCCCGACATCAAGTGATCTGCCTGTCTTGGCCTCCCAAAGTGCTGGGATTACAGGTATGAGCCACCCGCACTTGGCCTAACCTGCTTTTAGAATGAATTCTAACCACTCCTCTCAATAAGCGTGACTTTTCTTAGCATTGTCTGAATACTGGCACTGAACATAGAGTCCATCTTGGACTTACTTGGGCAATTTACAAACTGCCATCTAAGTTTGGGCTTTAAGGATAGAAAGAACCTTTTCATATCTGGGTTCACCAATATAGGTCATTTTGTGGGAAAGCAAATCTTAATAGTATGTGCTTTCCATTTTGTCCAAAACACATTTCTAGTACCCTATAAATATGTAAAAAATGTAAAAATGTTCTCTCTCTCTTTCTCTGTCTCGCTGTGTGTGTGTGTGTGTGTGTGTGTGTGTGATATTTCTTTTATTAGTCATCTTGTTTAGCTCCAAGTCATTAATCAAAAACCCATTCAGATGTTACTACCTGGTGAAATTCTTTCCAGACCTTATCCAATACAGTTAATTAGCCTTTTATGTACTCTTTCTGTAGCATCTACCTACTTGTCATTTATTTGCTCAAGTGCCTGTCTCACTTGTGCAATGAATTGTTAGTGTTCCCATGCATATAGAGCTCGTTCCCCTAACATTTGCACCTCCGACTCATTTTTCTCATTTGGCTTAAACATCACTTATTCTGAAAGTTTTTCTGACCACTTATCCATTCTGACAGTCTTTCTTCCTTCCTACCTTGATAATAAAGCCATCAAACATCGGTTAGGCACACGGCCCACCCAGAGTAAAGATTGCATTTCCTAGTTTCCTTTGCAGCAAGGTGTGGCATGTGACTAAGCACCAGCCAATGAGATGTAAGTGGAGGTATAAGGTGCTAGCTTTCAGGAATGTCTTCTAACACTCATTGGCTTCTTCCTTGTTCCCTCCATCCTGCTGCCTGGATACAAAGGTTGGAGCTCTGGCTGCCATCTTGGAACATGAAGATGATGGCCACACCTCAAAGATGGTGGAAGCATGAGTTGGAAGGAGTCTGGATCTTTGACAGCTTTATGGTACTACCCCACTAGCCTTGGATAGTTTGCCTCTAAGCTTCATTTATGTGTGACAGAAATGAACATCTATACAATGAGAACACACAGACACAGGGAAGGGAACATCACATACCAGGGCCTGCCAGGGGATGGGGAGCAAGGGAAGGGAGAGCATTAGGAAAAATACCCAATGCGTGTGGGACTTAAAACCTAGATGACGGGTTGATGGGTGCAGCAAACCACCATGGCACATGTATACCTATGTAACAGACCTGCATGTTCTGCGCATGTATCCCAGAACTTAAAGTAAAATGAATTTTTAAAAAAGAAATAAAAACTTCTTGAGTTTGAAAAAAAAGAAATGAATGTCTATTTTAAGGCATTATTACTCTTCTATCACATCACTTTCTTGTATTTCCAAAGTACCATGTTTACTTCTTATTTTCTACTTTCCACACTGGTGCATAAGCTCTATGAGGGTAGGCACCTGGGCTGTTTTGTTTGCCATCACATCTTCAGTGCCTAGAACAAGACTTGGCACACAGTACATATTTCTTATCAAAGGACTGTCTCCTCCACTAGACTGTGGGCATCTCAAAGGCCAATCTTGGGTCTGATTAATGTCAGTATCCCTAGCATAGGGTCTGGGCCGTAAAAGGGGCAGAATTGAAAAGAGAAAGGAGAGTTGAGAAAGGTATGGGAAAGGCACGAGAAAATGATGTACCTGCAGTGCCGGGGGTTCCATTCATGACACCAGGAGACTGCGCACCTGTGAACAAGAACAGAAGGGGAGGGTTTCCTCAGTCATGCTCCAGTGACTGCAGCACTGTGGCCATAACTGCTTCACATCCTCCTAGACCTGGCCATCACAACACTGGCCATCCACATTGTGGGGACATCTATGATCTGGCACAGGCACCTTTCTAGACACATTGCATGCATCTTAGACTTAATCCTCCTAACAGATTTGTGAGGAAAGTATTCTCATCCCCATTTGACAGATGAGAAGACTGGAGCTCAGTGATGTTAAGGGACTTGCCAAATTGACCTTTCCAGTCAGTAGCAGAGCTGGGATTCAAACCCCAGTATGTCTGATTCAAAAGTGAATGTTCTTAACCTCCACCAAGTTACCCTGTGATGCCACTTGAGGCTTCAAGTTGAGAGCTCAGTAAAATGGTAGGAAAACTCAGGGAAGAGCCTTCTTCATGAGACAGCCTCTGTTTGTTCTGGAAAATGGAAATGGTGATAATGCTTTACCTACCTCACCTGCTGTGAGCATTCAAAGTGATCGTGCATATAAAGGCATTTGACAAAGTGCCAGGCACAAGGAAAGTATTATTAGTACCAACATTACTGCATCTTAATTTCTTTAGGGGGAAAAAAAAGGCTTTCATTCTTCCACTTCTCCATCCTGGTGAAAATAAAAACACTAAAGAAACACTACTGTAAATCCATGAGTAGGATGGATGAAAATATGAGGAGCCATTGGAAAGCCTCCCCTATATTATACTCCAGAATACCATAAATGAATTTTGGAAAACACAGTCATTCACCAGAAAACAAAGTTGCATTTAAACGGGATTTAGGACTTACACTTCACCTGTAAGGAACTGAGTTATGGGGACCTGGAAACAGGTGGAATAAGGAAAAGGCCACATGTTTTGGCATCAGACTGAGCTGGGTTCAATCCTAACTCTAGCCACTCATGAGTAGGGGGATCCTTGGCGAGTCACTTAATCTCTCTGAGTCTTAGTTTCTCGCCTGTAACATGGACACAGGCATAGGAGGATTAAGTGAATTGATGGATGCAAGAGCTTAGCCTGGTGTCTAAGCACACAGGAGGTCCAAATGACAATATTGTTATTATTACCCAAAGCATCTCAAAGAATAGGTTTTTCAGTAAGGGTCAGACTGAGGTGGCAGCAAAGCCCTGAGAAGTTGGGCTGGTGACCCCAGGCATCTGTGGTTAAGTGTCAACACTCAGCCAGCAGGTCTTGTCACTGGGATTTGGCCACTTACCTCTCCGAGTGATGGGCCCCAAATCTAGAACCCGGGATAGGTCAATGGCCGGTACTTCACTGCGGACTTGACTTCTTGAGCAAGACTGTAGGGATGATGAACTTTTATTATATCAAAATTTAAATGCCTGGATTCTATCTAGACTGCTCCTGCAATGGGCAACTCTGGACCAAGAACTGGGTCCAGAACTGGTTCATGCTATGGCCCTAATTCCGATGCTGTGGTTATCTCAATCTAGAAAATTATCACTGTCATGCCAAACAAATCTGGGTTTGAATCTCATCAAGTAGAGACTTTCTTTTAGCTATATAATTTGGGGCCAATGACTTTGCCTCTCTACAATAACTAAATAGTACCCACCTGGTTGTGAAGATGAAAATGAGATGTGCCTGCAACACGTGGGCACAAAGTAAGCACTTGGAAAATACTAACTATTCACAGGCAGTGCCAAATGCAGGCAAGAGCAGGGACACTGGAGTCACCTCTCGGCTGGGGCACACCCTGGCTCTGATATTTTCTAACTGTGTGTGGCCCTGTGGGCAAGGACTTCTCTGACCCTCACAGTGGGGTAGATAAAATAATCTGCTTACAGGGTTGTTCTGAGAGTTACATGAGAAAACGTATGCAGAAGTTTTAGCGTGGTGCTTGACAAAGAGCAAGCACTAAAAACGTCATCTATGATTATAATCATTTAAGAGATGCCAATGGAATCTAGTAGATAGATTTCTTTATCAAATCTGCCTCCTGGGGACAGAAAAATTGCTTAGATTTGGGCCTTTAGGAGACCTAGAGTATATGTATTTATCCTTCGTCCTTCCCTCCCTCCCATCCACACACCTACCCATCTCTTTCTGTCTCTTCATCCTGCTCCCTTCCGTCTCTCCTTTCCTGTTCCTCCTTTCCTTCTCCATCCCTCCTGTATTCCTTTTTCCCCCCTCTTCCCTTCTGACTCCCTTCCCTTCCTTCCCTCATTCCCCTTCCTCATCCCCTTCCCTAACCTTCCCTTCCCCTTCCTCTTCCCCTTCCTCTTCCCCTTCCTCTTCCCCTTCCCATTCCCTTCCCTTCTCTCCTTCCTTCAGTTCCCTTCCCCTTCTCTTTCCCCTTCCCCTTTCCCTTCCCTTCCCTCCCTTTCCCCTCCCTCCCACCCTCCCCTCATTCATAATTGCAATAAATATATATGGAGAGTCTATCAGGTACCAGGCTCCATGCCGGGCTCTGAAGAGTTCAGTTCAAAGAGAAACTCACAGGCTGGCACTGTTCATTATGAGAATCACAGAGATGAATCTCACAATGCAGGAAAACTAGGTCATAATGTCCAGCAAACATGAACATCTGAACTGAGAACCGGCTTTCCGAGGATCTCCCATTCTCCTCCACATGGATGGTGGAATCACGTTGATTTGAGCAGCTGGGAGGGTGACAGGGGCAAAGGTGTAACTTCTTAAAATAGCAGTGGAGAAAATTAAAGAGTCCCTCGGGTTCCCTCCATCATGATAAAGTGGACTTTTTCTGTTCCTCTGTTTCCTCCAAGATATATCCATAAACTCACATGGCTTAAATTATTTGGGGGCACAGTCTCTGGAGTGAAACAGACTGATTTTATATTCTAGCCCAACCCATGTTCTAGCTAAGTGATTATGGGCAGGTTACTCATCCTTACTGAACCTTACTTTTCTTATCTGTAAAGTGGAGACAGTAATATACACTTTATGAGACTGATGTGAGCATTTAATCAGATAACCCACATATATTTCTTGGCACATAGCTAAGCTCAATGACAAATATTAGCTAGGATTATTACTATAATTTAAATCGTGATCTATAGAAATGCATTTTCCCCTTGTTTTTGTCAGCCGGGCATGTTCAATAATATTTCATCCCACAACATTTATCATATTGTTTTCATATTGACCCAGTGTTCACTTCGGTGTAATAATCCATTACTACCAAATTGATTCCCTACTTTTGAACAATAAGCCTGTTGCCAAAGTTATCAAGAATATTGAAATGGAAAAATATTGGCATTTATTCACCCTACCCACCTATTTGGTATTAATATTTTAGGCTAAAATCTCAGGAGTGATATTTCTGAGTCAAAGAGTGTGGTTATGCTATGTAATAAAACTTACACATCTGCTAGGGATGGATGAGACGAACATTTTCCCGTAAACGTTAGTAAGGCCAAATGATAATTCTAGAATTGCTCGTTACCTGTTTCTGATGATGAAATACTTCACAGGGTCAGCCTTGTCTTCAGTGGGGGTGGCATAGCAGTTCCTCAACACCAGGTTAAACCGGGAGGTGTCCCCTTGCTCCAAGATGGCGCCCACATAGAGCATGGACTCAACAGACAGTTCAACTACATCCCCTTCATAAGGATTCGTGTAGTTCTGGTCTTGGAAGAGGGCCATCCTAACAATGAACTCTCCATCCCCGCCCACACTGACGTTCAGGAAGCTGAGAAAAGGAAAGCCACAAGAGTGGGAACCTCAGAGAGAACAACATAAATCAAGCCCTGCTACTTACTTAACACACTTATGAAGGCAAAGACACATGTCTTGGATCCTTAAGTGAACTATTCAATCATTCATTTAAACGGAGCATTTATTAGTTTCTAGGCACCAAACTTGACAGACAGGTCTGTCTCCAGGATTTCCACGGATCCTCCCTGCAGGACAAGTTACACATATATCTCTCACTGAAGGAATAACTGAGTGTACACCTCCATCTTCTCACCTGGAGAGTGGGGCTGAGAACCAGTTCTGTGTGTTTACATTTTTTTAGCAGCAGATCACTTCCCTCCATTCCACAGTCTTCAGTGAAACCCAATTTTAACAACAGAAATGGCTTTCCTTTTGATTTTTTGTGAACCAGGAGCCCCAGCACCAAACCATCTGGAAACCACTGAATTAGAAAATTGCTAATCCTTCTGATCCTGTTGCTTTGTAATACCAGGGGGCAATAAGGAATGAGATGGGCACTCTGGATTTTTGACTTCCCAGAAAGTCCCCTGGCAAATCTAGGGATGCTAAGGAACTGATTCAACAGGACCCCATTTCAGGCACAGAAATACAACAAAACAGAGAAAAGCCCCTGCCCAAATTGCTATCTGATGCTATTCCTGCTGGGGATGGGGTGCCTGTTTATTCAATAAAAGCTGGTCTCTGCTTCAATCTCATGTCTGCAGGGAAGTTGTTCTGTCCCCATCAAATCCACCACCAACAGGGGTCTGGAACCCCTGTTCCCTGCTCCCAAAGCACCCCACGTTTTTTTACATTGCACTCATCTTGCTTATAAGTAATTATTGATTTAATTAGTTGCTTAATACCTTTGTTCCTCAAGGTGAATGAACTTGTCCTGTGTTTTTGTTTTCTAGCACATTTAGTAAGCACTGTTTCATGTTGCTGCATTGCCTGGTTATAACAATCTTTAATATCCACAGAATAATCTATGTCTGTCTTCTTCATGCTGAACATCTTTAATATACAATCAATGAGTACTTGTGGAATGAATGATTGAATGACTGGAGGCTCCTGGAGGAGGTTGGTAATATGGTGTGGGCATCATAGTCTACACTTGAAGTAAGTGTGATGTGACTATTGCTAAGGTTATAGGTCAAAGGACAAGGGTCAATGCCATACCTTACAATGGGCTTCAAGGCAGCTTGGAGGCTGACTTTCATGTCCAGTGGGTAGGCACACTGGAAGTTGATGTTGAGGATGGTGTCTCTGATGATGAAATCACTGACCAAGGAGAGGGTGTTTTTGTAGATGGCATGGGTTTGATTTCTCTTTGGCATAAAAACAAAACCACACAGATGTTTATGTGTAAGTGTATGTAGGTGTATCTCAAATCCAGATCTGATTTCCAGAGTCAATGTGCTTAACCATGCAGCCACCCTACCTTCCGAGCTCATGGAGGTAAAGGGACCTCCTCCTTCAGTGTTACTGACACTTTGTGGGAAGGGGAATGAGGACACCAGACAAAAAACTAGACCAATAAATTATTGACCCTTGGGAAGAGTCAGGAACCGACAAGCTTGCTTCTCTGTGCATCCCTCCCCGACCATCCCTAATTAAAATTATCATAATTGCAGCTTACGTTTATGAAACTCACATGTCAGATTTACACTAAGCTCTTTATGTAAACCAACATGTGCACTCTCACATAACCCTGGGGCTCAGGGAAGCTAAGTGGCTTGTCCAAGATCTCAGAGCTACTATGATAGGTCCCATCAGCCCAACACATACCTTCTGGCAGCAGTGGTGTGAAAGCCACTTACCTCCAGAATGTTCCTGCAGGCACTAGCCTGGACGGGGCTGGTCACAGATACCCAGTTCGTCTCGCCTGTCTGCAAGATGCTGCTGCAGTTTGGGTCTCGCAGGTAGGCAATGACCTCCTCCTCCAAACCCAGGCCTCCCAGCAAACATTTGTCCACCTTCACCTTGATCTCCTCGGCCCCACAGTCTAGCTGAGGCTGCAAACTGTGGAGATCTGCAAAGCAGGGATGAAGGCAAGTAGAATGGACATGAGTCTGGAAGCCCACTTTCCCTACTCTTTGGTAAGGTCTCCATGACCCAGAAGATTATGTAAACTAGAAGGTCCCTGGGATCCAGACGGAATTCATGCCTAGACTGGCAGTAGGTGAGGCTGGCAAAGGGGGCCCCTCATTCGAGATTTCCAAGTGTCCTATGTGTAGGCTTAGCTAAGGTTTTTTGGTCTAGTTCCTCTTGGGGATTGTGTTATTTGGGGAGGCAGGATGGACTTGCATTCCATACTAGAATCAAAGTTAGATATATGCTACCTTGTTGAGTCAGCACATCTGACCAAGTTCAGAGCTATCATGTTTTAACTCAACATTTATTCAACACACAACTTCTTGAGCATCTACTATCTGCCAGGCACTGGGGCTACAACACTTATCAAAACTGACAAAATTCCTGCTCTTACAGAGCTAACATTTGAATAGGGTAGACAAATAGTAAACTAATAGGAAGACAGTTTCTATTGCATTCATGAATGCATTGATTGAATATATATTTACCAACCACCTTCTGTCTCTCTCTCTCTCTCTCTCTCTCTCTCTCTCCCCCCCCTTTTTTTTTTAAGACAGAGTTTTGCTGTGTTGCCCAGGTTGGAGTGCAGTGGTGCAATCTCAGGTCACTGCAACCTCTGCCTCCTGGATTCAAGTGATTCTCCTGCCTCAGCCTCCCGAGGCTGGGATTACAGGCATGGGATTACAGGCATGTGCCACCACACTGGGCTAATTTTTGTATTTTTATAGAGATGGGGTTTTGCCATATTGGCCAGGCTGGTCTCAAACTCCTGACCTCAGGTGATCTGCCCACTTCAGCCTCCCACAGTGCTGGGATTACAGGCATGAGCCACTTTACCAGCCAACTTCTCAAATGCTAGGTGCATTCAACACAAAGTAAATAAGGCATGGACTTGGCCTATGAGGATTTCTTGGTCTTGTGTAAACACCAACATACCCACAGCTTATTATACTTCAATATGATAAAGATACAGACAGAAGTATGTACAGATGCAGGGGGAGCAGAGAAGAAGGTCTAAGTCTCTTGGTGAAGCCAGGGAAGGATTCACAGTGGGGTGAAACTTGAAAGAAGGGTAGGAGTTTTGCAAGTGAGTAAAGCAAGTGAAAGCATCTCAGGCTAAGGGAACAGGATAGGCAAAAGCATGGAGATGACATAGAGGGGATGGTGCATTTGTGGAATTTCAAAGTTCAGAGGTGCAGGAACCTAAAATGAGAGTGGGGTGTGAGAGATGGAGAAGGAAGTGAAAGTCAGACCACAGAGGGATATGTCTGCAAGCAATGGGGCCCACTGGACAGCCATCATTCTGCTGGCCACTGATGAACACGTGAGGCAGGCCACCTGCTCACTCAGTCAGCTGAGGCTGTCCTTGGAGCCCATCCAGGTACAGGGAGGGCCTCCTTAAAGCCCAAGTTCTGTCTCTGTGATGGGCCCAAACCCCAGAAAACCACACTGACTCTCTGGGGCCTCATCCACTCAATGAGCAGAAAGAGTCTTTAAGGAGATCAAGGTTGTTGGTTGTTCCCTACCCCTCATTTCCCAGGGTGCTCCTGCTGGGCACATCTAAGCATCTCCCTGTTCACACTGCAGCTCTGTTTTCCAAATGTGTCATGCTCCTTCTTGTCCTGCTGCCTAGAACACTCTCTCTTCCATAGGGACTTGGAGTGTGCTCAGAGGAAGGCATGCTTGTGCCAAGGGCAAGATCAAAGGCCCTTGTTAGAGTTCAGTGATGGAGGGAAATAATCTCAGTGGGAGGCTCATCCATCCCCTGTCCAGGGTTTAGTGTTTGTTTGTCTATGACATCCCTACCCATGGGCCATCTCACTCTGCTTGCTCACCTCCTGGGATGAGAAATTCATCACCTCCTGAGCCTTCCCAATTGGACTGCTCTGATTTAGTTCTCACAATAGCCCTGTATGGTGGGTATTATTATCACTTTAACCTCATTTTACAGATGAGGACATTCAGACTCAGAGACAATAGGGACTTGTCCCCGGAAGTCTGCCCATGTCCCTGACATGAAGACCCTGTGACTATAAAAACATAGCTCCTACATTTGCAGAATTATCGTCTTCAGTACCTTCAGCCTCAGGGGTCAAGCCTGTGCATGTCAGAACCATTTCCTGAGGCCGTGGCCCAGCAGCTGACCTGGAAATTTTGCTCCAACCCTGCCTTCCTATCCTTGCAAACCCACTGGCTTTACAGCAAATAGATTGGAGAGCCCACATTCCCTTGACCTCAGGTCCATGCCCCCGACTCTGCTTTATACCTTATCCTGACTCTCTAAAGCTCCCTCCCTCCTGCCCTGTCCACTCAGGATGGTAGTTACTGGCCCAGTGAGCCACTCACCAGAGCTATTGAGGTCCTGTCTGCAGAAACAGCCCCAGGTGCTGTTGCGGGCAAGGCACTCCTCCTCGGGGCGGCAGGCCTTCTCACACTTGTCCTCCACAGTGGAGGGATCTAGGTGATGGGGCATGGAGAGAGAAGATCAGGACGCAGTGTGGGCTGGACTTGAGGCCCCCAAGTCCAACCTCCTCATTCCACCGGGGCACAAGAATCTTGCCAAGGTTGTGTGATACTTAGTGGAAGCGTTAAGCCTCAAACTCAGATTTCCTGACTCCCAGTCCAGTGGGATAAGTGAGAGCCCTAAAGCTGCCACCTGAACACTTACCACAGACAAGACTCTATTCTAAGGACAATGAATGTATTAGCCCATTTAATCAAAATGAGAAAGGACAGCATGGCGGTTAAGCCCATGGATGTTGGAGCTCGAATGCCAAGTTCAAATCCCAGCTCTACCACGCTCTGTGATACTAGGACAGCCCCTTAATGTCTCTGTGCCCCTCATTGTGGTAATTAGGTAGCACTTATCTCATGGAACTGGGGAGAGGATCAAATGAGTTAATACATTTGAAGTACTTAGGATAGCAACAAGGACATTGTGAGCATTATGTGTTAGCTGTTATTTTTGCCGTTACCCCCTTTTTTTCAGATCAGAACACCGAGGCTCAGGGAGGCAAATTTAACTTCCCAAATGGAGCCAAAATCTGAATGAGCATGAGTTCTGGATTTTATGCCACAGACATTTATAAACTGGGAAATTTCACCCTTAAATGAGAATTTCTGCCTTGAAACGTTGGAAGGTCTGACAACCCCAGTGTTGTGTTCTCACTGGGCAGGAGCTGAGTCAAGGCTGCTCTGCATCCTCTCCTGTCTCCTCTTGACTTGCTCCACTCACTTTACTGAGCCTGGGGGGCATCTCACTGGCTGTGTAGCTGCCTCCTCCAGGGCTCTGCTGCTCACCTGTGCAGTATCTCAGATTACACTCGGGAGTGTCTTCCAACCGGTACACGTGATACCCGCCTGGGCAGGCCTTCACCAGCACCTCCGTCTTCCAGAGACAGCAGTTGCCACTCCAGTGGGCACAGGCAGTGCGGTTGACGATGCCATCCCCAAGGGCAGGGTGGGTCCCGTTCAACCACATGGGAGCGGCTGTCTGGCATCGGCGCACCTGGACACAGGTCTCCGGCATCCTCACTCCTCCTTCCCCTACAAAGCGGTACCAGCCACTCATGTTGTCATCGCACCCCTGTTTCTCTTCTGAGTTCTCTGTGCTTCGGAAGGGTTCATCCAGGAGGGTGTAATTCTGACAGGGGTCAAAACAGATGTGAGCCTCTGGGGTGCCAGGAGCTCCGCAGTCCAAGTCCAGCCCATAGGAACTGGCTTCACTGGGGTTTCCATAACCTGGGAAAGTGACAGAGTGCAGTTGGGTTTAATGTTTAATCCATTAATTAAACATCAACTTCATCACCTTGCGGGCAGAATAACCAGTGAGGATCTTCTGCGGTATTTTTTAGGCATTGAGGACATCAGGGCCACCATCCTGCCCAGTCTCCCTCCCCGCCTTAGAGTAACAAAGTTCTTTCCTGTGCATTCATGCACAGCAGCCTTGTTTGACTAATATTTGTTTTTCTCATTATAAATGTAATACAGGCTCACTGAAAAAGAACCTCAAACATCATTAAAATGAATAAAGCAAAAATGAAAGTTGCCATAAGCCCATCTCATCCCCAGAAGTAACAATAAATTTGTTATGTAGCCTTCAGATTCTTCTTAGGCATGTTTAAAATATATTGCTTTCTTAAAAATAAAAATAAGTTTAATTCTGTACAACATCTTTTTTTCCACTTGTATTTTTTACTTAACATAACATAGACATTTTTCCATACCAGTAGCACAATCTAATGTAAGAATTCCAAACCTTGGCACTATTGACATTTTGGCTGGGTCATTCTTTATTGGAGGAACCATCCTGTGCATTATAGAATGTTTAGGAGTATCCTTGGTCTCTACCTACCAGATCCCAGCAGCATGACCCAAAGTGGTCTCCAGGCATTGCCAAATGTCCCCTGCGGAATATCGCCTCCAATTGAGAACCACTGACTTAACAAGACCATTTCTGATTGTTGATCTATCATTTTTCAAAACAGTTTTAGAAACTGTGATGTATGAAGAGGCAGAGAAGTGAAGGAGGAAGACCACAGGCTGGTCGGGGTGACTTTAAATCCAATTCCACACTTGCTGGCTGGGTGACCTTGGCAGGTGACTTCAGTCCCCTGAGACTCATTGGCAAAACCACGTCTGTAAACTAGTGGTTCTCAAACTTTATCCATTCCTATGCCTTGGGTCATGACCTTTGCCATACATGTGTTTGCCTGTCCTATTATTGACTTAAAATGTTTCTTTCAATGATTATCTCTAAGAATTAGTTTCATCTTAAAGAATAATATCTGTGATAACATAGATATCATGTGCTAGTTATATTTTTTAGATATGCATAAAAAATAAACATAAAACCATGAAAAACTTGTTAAGAGTTTGCCAGGCATCCCCCGAATCATCTTGGACTATATACACCTCATTTGGAGAAAGCAAGCCTTAAATGATTGTTAGAGGATTAAGTGAGATAATATGTGTAAAATGCCAAGCAGAGCACCAGGGTCAAGCGAATTCTCTTCTCTAGTTCTGATTTGTTGAATGCTGTAGATGCCTGAAGAAGGAGCTAAGTGTACACACAGGATCATGTGCTTATAATACACGTTAAAGGGGCTTTCGAAAAAAAGAGACTTTCAAGTTTTGCACATGCTTATAATACACATTAGAAAGGCCTTTCAGAAAAAGAGATTTTCAAACTTTTCTCATGCGTGTGCTTAAGACAAGGAATCCCTGCATTTACTGTTCTTAGATTACTCCTTGCACACCCTGCGTTTTTCCACTGGAGGCCTCCAATGAGTTCAATTCCCTCACCCACCCTCCTCCACAGGGCTGAAATTTGCACTCTAATTCTAAGTCTGAGACTCCTTTCTGCAAGTATCTGAATTGCCCAATTCATAAAGAGATCATTTAATCTAGCCCTTTCAGGAAAAGAAGAAGGTGCTTTCCAGTACAAGGTGACTAAGTTGTGTATTTCTTGATCTTCTTTAATCTGGGATCTCTGATCTCCCAAAGATATGGGCATGGGAAGTTATGTTAACTGGCTCCCACTGCCGTTTCAAGGGAATTTCTGATTAGATTCTTTGAGAGATGATTGTGACTTGATTTCCATTGTGTCTCACTATGTTTCCCTTGATTTCTAGCTCTGAGTTTTTGCTTTAGAACCGCCGATTCCTCTTCCTTACCTGAGTCACCTTCTCTGCACTTCTATCCTCACTTGCTAGGTCTTCCTTGACATCTGAGATGCCAGGTGAGCAGAATACTTACCTTGCTGCACTGCAGATGCCTGGGCCAGAATGCAGGAGACCAAGGCCAGCCACAGGAGGCCAGAACCCACCATCCTTTCCATAAGGTGAGGCATGCAGGTCACTTTGCTGTATGCAGACTTGCTGTGCAGCTACGGGAAATGAAAGACCCAAATAAGATCAGGGCATAAGACTATGTTCTTAGAAACAGATCCGTTGACTTCCTTCATGAAGAGCTGCATTGTTTCAAAGTAGGTGTGACTTGTGGACAGATGAAGCAAGATAATGGGAGATAAAGTTGACAGTAAGCAAACCAAAGGCAAGCTCAGAGCTGGCTAGTACTGCAGAATGTCCTAGAAAGGTCTCAGGATGGTCCCTGCTCAGGTGGAGGTAGAGGCTCTCTGGAGATTGGATAGAGAAAGAGGGATACGGTGCCTGTGAATATCTGCACACAAAAGTAATGGCTGCCCTTTCTTAGTTTGATGCACTGGGTGCTGTTAAGAGCCCCGTGAAATGTCCTCTATGCATGTAGATTTCTGTGAGTGTGGAACCATGCCAAACCGAGCCCCATGTTCCTTGCTCCTAGTACAGAATCTGGCACACAAGGGGTACTCATTAGAGGATTAAGGGATGAATAAATAAATCAATGGGGGTTGGGAGCAGTGGCGAGGCAGAAAGAAAGAGCTGCAAAAAGCCTGCCAGCATTTGGATGGCGTTTACTTTTCTGGGAAATCCTTTCCCTGAATGGCCAAATCTTTGGATAACTTCCTACAACCTCTGGAAGACTTCAGTGGAAAATAGAGATCGGTTTCTGGCAGGGATATCATGAGTATGCTACGAGGCAGCAGGGATAGGGGAGCACCCAGGATTGGTGATTCTTAGAGATGAGATCCCAATAGAGACCTAGTTCCCTGGTGGGAGTATCTGGGGCAAGGGAAAGGGTGGCAACTATAGGCCTAGAACATCGCAGGTGACTGGAAGCATGGCTGAGTTGGATATAGAGTGGTACCTGGAGCACTTGACAATGGCCAGGATCCAAACTCCTTGCTGGGTTCTAAAAATTTCCAGAAACAAAGAACCCTAGCAAGTCCAGTGGATCAAGAGTTCCCAGGATTAGGAGAAAGCCTCCTGAGGCTTAAAGCAGGACTTACCTCCGATGAGAACACAAAGCGTTTCTCCTCCTCCGGCCAGCCGTGGGAATGCAGCCTGCTGTGGGCTGTCTTTTTATTGCAATTTCCCACCCATGTGTCTCTCCTCAATTGGTGCACAGGTATGATGGGAGTTCTAGGCCATACACTGGGCTTGTTGAGTGGAGGTGAGATAAGCCATTTACGCAAAGGATGGTGAAAGAAGGGCCCTCCCCTCACAGTGTAAACCCTTCCAGCTGTCTCAGCATCGTGCAAATGCTTCCTACAAACAATAGTGCTGTGTGCTGAATGCTGAACATGCTGGGCACTACTTTGCGTCCATGACTTCTCACATTTAATCTTCCTAATCAATCAATGAAACTGGTGCCATATTTATTACCAGAAACCAAACACGAATTGAAAGGAAGCTTAATACCCAAAGGGAAGTGAAGAGAAAATCAAACAGGCACTTGTTTGCACAATGGATTTTCAACTGTACCTTGTGTTCCTAGCTAATCATCTTGGAACGTTTCTGCTTCTGTCTGAAGGCCACTGAGCTTGGGGCCAGTTAGGCTAAGAGGATAAATAGGAAAAGAAGGAAGGGAGTGTGGATGTTTCCACAAAATTCCATTTCTTGGTCCATAGACTACCCAACTCCAGATTACTAATGCTAAGGAGTTTTGGAATGGCTAATTTGGTGATGATGGATTTTGGAATGCCAAAGGACAAAGGTTCCTGGACAAAAGAAGCATCAGAGCAGCCCCTGTAAATCCCTTTTGATATGTAGGCTGCCCTAGAGATTGGAAGGCATGAGACTGAGAAGACGCTGTAGAGGATCTTGGACTTACTAACTCCAGGCTTGGACTGGGCTTTCATGGCATGGTAGAAATCATGGACTTCATAAAAGAGCCAAAGCTTTTGCAGAAAAAAATGGCCACTGTTTCTTCTCTGTCACTCTGGGACTCCTTAAGGAGCCAAGGCAACTGGGGACAAGGGAACAGGAGAGTCTTGGCATTGGTAACACCTTCTACAAAACCTCAACCTGGAAAAATGAAAGGTGCTACAAGCCACCTTCTCTACTCCCAAAGCAACTGGAGGAAAGTCTCTATAATGTGGAACTTATGACAACTGGGTCCACTAAATAGCCCACTGATCCATTCAATCTGGCCAGGTGCCCATCCCAGTCTCCCCAGGGGCCACTCTTAACCTTCCCATTCCTCTTAAATGGTCTCTACGGCTATCATCACCCGCTCACACCACTTTTCTCAGCAGATATCTTGTACCCTACTTCAAAAACAATTTAGGCCACAACACCTGACCTTGCTCCTTTCCCTATAAACATATAAATACTGGTCTCTGTCCTCCACTTCTTCCCCCTTCAACTTTTAATAAGGCGATCTTCCTCCTTTTCAAAGTCAGTTCCTCCATCCTTCTTCTGGCCTCTCCGTTCCAATCTGAACCATGCAGCTACAACTTTATAGCCAAATCCACTGGGTAGTTTGTTTCTGCTCCTTTGTGATTGGATTTGCCTACTGCTTTTTCCGGGTACCTTGCATTTCCTTGACTCCGCATGATAGTATTTTCTTGAGTCTCCTATTTCTACTTGGAGATTTCTGTTCTGTTGCTACAAGATCCTGTCCCTAAGAATGCCGGTTAGGTCCCATTTTTCTTGTCACTTCATAAACTCTCCCTGGGAGGTATCAAGTTATCTCATGGTTTCACATACCATCTCCAGGCTGCTGAGTTCTGAATCTGTATCCCCAGCTTTCGCTACTCCCTTGAACTTCAGTTCCATCTACCTATTGATTGCTGGACCTCTCACTGCCGCTGAGATGCTTGAGACACCTCAAACTCAGCAAGTGCAACACTGAGCTCATCAAGTCCCCTAAATCTCCTCCTCCTCATTGTATAATATGTTTTAGTCAAAGGTGCCACTCCCCTCCCAGTCATCCAAGCTGGAAACTTGGCCTCTTCCTTTCTAAGCTCCTTCCTTTCTCCCTCTGCCCCCATTTCCAATAATCCTTTCCTCTCCATCTCCACTTCACCAATCCAAATTCGGGCCACCGTTCCTTACGAAGGTAATTTTTTTTTGAGCAAGGGTCTTGCTCTGTTGCCCAGGCTACAGTGTAGTCACGTGATCATAGGCTCACTGCAGCCTTGATCTCCTGGGCTCAAATAATCCTCCCACCTCAGCCTCCTGAGTAGCTGGGACTACGGTTATTGGCTACCACATCTGGCTAATTTTTAAATTGTTTTGTAGAGGCAGCGTCTTGCTATAATGTGTGGTTGTCTGGCCTCTTCCTCATCTTCAAGCCTTTGCATACACTATTCCCTCAGCCTGCATCACTCTTCACCCAGCCTCATCCTACGTTATCACCTCTTCCAGGAAGCCTTTCCTAACTCCACCGGTACTCCTCTTCTCTGCTCCTAGGCCTCACAGGGCTGATTCCAATTACACTCACCTGCCAACTTATCTGTCTACGTCTGAAGGCTGTTAAGATCTTTGTGGACAGAGGCCAAGTGTGATGGCTCATGCCTGTAATCCCAGCACTTTGGGAGGCCAAGGTGGGTGGATCACTTGAGGTCAGGAGTTCGAGGCCAGCCTGGGCAACATGGTGAAACACCATCTCTACTAAAAATACAAAAATTACCCGGGCATGGTGGTGCATGCCTATAGTCCCAGCTACTCAGGAGGCTGAGGCAGAAGAATCACTTGAACCCAGGAGGTGGAGGTTACAGTGAGCTGAGATCACACCACTGCACTCCAGACTGGACAACAGAGTGAGACTCTGTCAAATAAATAAATAAATAAATAAAAGATATCTGTGGACAGAGAGCCTGTCTCTGCAGTCCTAATCAGTACCTAGTAAGTACTTCTTGAGTAAACACATGGATAAATTCATAAAAAGCACTCCCAGACCCTCTGCAGTGAGCAATTCTTCAAACTTATGGCTGTCCAAGTGTAAGCAGTGAGCCTTGCAGGAAAGACACAAGATCCTACCTCAGGACCTTTGCACCTGCTATTCCGACTGCCTGCAATGCTCTTCAGATATGCCCCTGGTTCACTCCTTTACTTCTTTTAGCCTCTGCTCAGCAGAGGGACTTTCTCTGGTCATTTTATGTCGACTAACACCCACATTGCTCTATCCCTCATCCTTGTTTCTTCATCCCCCTCAGGACTTGTCACCATCTATCACGTTGCACATAGTTGCTGTTTAAACGTATCTGCTTTTTAAATGTAAGCTCTCTACCAGCAAGGGCTCTCGTTTGATTATTTGTTGTTTCCATGGTACATATAAAATTGCCTGGCATTGAATTTATGCCCAAAATATCTGTTGAATATATTGAGCTGGATAATTGATAGAAAACAAGAGAGGCAAAGAAAAAGTACCGAGGGACTGAAGGAGTAATTCTGATGTGCTTTCTTTTTATCCCAGCTCTTGTCTTTGGTCTTTGTCTTTATTGATCTTGGCCCAGATTTTTCCTTTATGTTCTGTTGTATTGGAGTGCAAGCACAGGTGGATGCATACACCATCAGCCACCAACTGACCATGGCCTGACAGTGGACAGGGGCTGGGATCAGCCCATAGTCTTCCTCCGCAAAGTTCTTATGTCAAGGTTTTCTGTGCATGTCTGTGTGATAACAGGCCCCTTGACTTAAGACACAGTGCCCTAGCAGCCCCCATTTGCTGATACACACGTGTGGATTTCCCTGGGATCAGAAAGTTCTGATAATGTACCAAGGAGGGCCTTGGCCTCTCCTGAAAAGCCACAGCTGGAGCCCAGGGAAGCAGCTGGTAGCAGAGCAGAGAGTTCCCATTGAAACTGGCTTTCTTCTATCCACTTGGCACAGAAGTCCAGAGACTCGTGGGGTATCTGGGTCTGCTGGAACCAGCCACCCCATCCTGGAGGACCCCATACCCTACAAAGCATTCCCTACTAATGGGGATCATTGATCTCTTTTCTACTCTTGGTGTGTCCCTGGGAGTTGGTTTTCCAGGGAATCTTCTGGATTGGGAGGGAGATGTCCAATGATTGGAGGGAGTCCTTAGAACATTCCAGGTACCTGACCTTGACTTGCTTACTCCTTATTACCCCTAAGGACTGGGAGACTCCTGGAAGCAGGGACTTACTCATCAATATGTAATTGTCTGTCTTATTCATCAGTGTTTCCTAGCACCTAGAACAGTGCCTGGCACATATAACATTCTCAGATAAATGTTTCTGGAAAACTGAACTAACCCTCTGAGGACATCACTATTGTCTCCATGATACATAACCAGCAGGCCCTGGCATACAATCATTTATTTTTCCTTTTTTTTTTTTAATAACAGAGTCTTGCTCTGTCACTTAAGCTAGGGTGCACTGGTATAATCTCAGCTCACTGCAGCCTCAACCTCCCAGGGTCAAGAGATTCTCCCTCCTCGGCCTCCTGAGTAGCTGGGACTACAGGCACGTGACACCATGCCCAGCTAATTTTTAAATTTCTTTTTGTAGGGGTGGGGTCTTGCCATGTTGTCCAGGCTGATCTCAAACTCCTGGGCTCAAGCAATCACCACCGCCACCTGGGCCTCCCAAAGTGCCAGGATTACAGGTGCGAGCCACCGTGCCTGGCCTATGCTCTCATTTCTGAAATGTCTGACCTACTTAGAATTACTTGTTCAAGTTCTCTCTCCTACCAGACAGGAAATTCCAGGGGGGCAGGGATTGTGTCTGACTTGTTCACTGCTATATCCCTGGCATCTAGCACATAGTGCCTGGCACATAGTACATGCTCAGCAAATACGAATGAATAAATGGATGAAGCTCAGAGACACTGTGTAAGGTCACACAGCAGAACCTGGTCTCACTGAGCAGACTGTGAACTCCATGAGGACAGGGTGGGGGGCTATGTTTTCCCACCATGGGATCCTTAGCACCATACATTGTGCCTACATGGTAGAGTTCAATAAATACTTGTTGAATGAATGGATGACTTCAAAGACTGAGATTTAAAACTCATTATTTTGCCAGGAGATGGGGGACTCAGGTACACCGTCACAAGTCCCATTTTGAGAACAAGCAGCGTTTAAAGACACAGGCTGTTTCTCGACAGCCAGGATGAAAGGGGAGAAAAGAAGGCAGGCTGACCAAAGCATGAACTTTCTTTTCTGTGGCTGGAGCACTGGCCTACATCGTGCCCCCTGCCCGGCAGGAAGGGAGACGGCAGCCACGGAGCACAGGGCTTTCTGCTGTCAGTCACTGAAAAGTCAGGGTCAAGGTGGCCGAGAGAAGCAGAGGCAGCCAGACTTTCAGGAGTCCTGAAAAGAAAACAGTTACAGGGCAACTGCTAGTACGACTGTACTTTTGTGCAAATTAACATAAGCTGCCTCCTCTAGACTGACCAATCAGAAGAGGACCCCCTCTCTGGGCTGGTCTCCTAGAAAAAGGAAGCTTCCTCTTTATCTGCCCTGAAAAAGGTGGACTGATCTGAAAAAGGTAATCGTTCCTCTGGCACTAGGCTTGGTACCTCCTCAAAAGGGCACTCTTGTGCAGTGCCCAACCTACTCAACCATCCTTAGAGACCTTGGGGGATAGTCACAGAGGGCAAACCTCTTAGGAGTGCTGTGACTCTCCATCTCTGAGCTCACCAGTACTGGGCTGAACTAGTTCAGGTCAAATGCCCAGTTAGCTGGGTGGGGTGGCTCACACCTTTAATCCCAGAATTTTGGGAGGC